CCAGGCCCAGATGATGCCAGGGAAGGAAATGTGCCCTCAGCCCAGGGACGCTCAGCATGGGCTCCCCCAGCCCTCCAGGCCCCACCGCTGGTCACAGTAGCCCCTGCCTGACTCCTGCCTGCCCACACCGTGGGTGTTATGAACAAAAATTCGGTTAATATTTTTTTTTGTGAGAAAGAGTTACAGAGACTCAGCCAGATCTGTCTCTGCCAGGGTTCTTAGTGTTTTGTTATTGTAATCATGGGTCGTTGTGGCTTATCGCTCCCTTTGTATCAGCAGAGCCTTGCCCGAGGCTAAGTTGTACCTTTCCCAGAACAGTGAAGTGAAGAGACCTGGAGGGGGGGGTTTTGCAAAGTGACTCCAAAGACCAGAATGCTTTGTGGGACCCCGACTCCAAACCCACAGAGAAAACCCCCAAAACAACGAGCCAAATAAGAGTTGAGAGACTGAAGTGATGTCTGGACATGAGGAGCCAAGTGCTGAGCCTGCAGAGATGCGGAGCCCCTCTTGCCCTGAGCAGAGAGTTTTCCCAACACCGGGACCAGCCAGCTGAGAAGCTCAAAGGACCAACATCTGACAGGGACATCACGCCCTAAAGGCTCCCACGAGGACTGGATCCCCTGGCTCTGCCCCTAGCGGACAGAGCTGCGCATATCCTCCTCCTCTGAGTCGCCCAGGGAGACCCGATGGGGACTGCAGCCCTGCCGAGCCACCCAATCCTGAGTTGATCACTTTTAATAAAGGCATTAAAAAGGAGAAGAAGTCTCCTGGCCCTGTTTATTTCAGCTGGGGGCGCTCGTCCGGAATAGCCACGCCGCAAGAAGATTCAAGGCTGGCCATCTTGGACTTCAGGACAGCTGGCTATCAGGACCAGAGGGATCGGCTCAGGAGCAACGAAACAGAGGAGCACCGGAGCACCGGATTGGTGAGAAGCCGGTGGTGGGAGTGGGAGACGTGCGCATGTGTGTGTGAATGAGACGGAGGCCGGCAGCCGGACCTTCGAAGTGAGAGCGGATCCCTCAGTACCGCGTTTCTAGACTCCTACGAAGGGGCCGGCCGGGAACAGGGGCCGGGGCTTGGAATTAGCGTGAGTGAGACGTCTCCCAAGGGGGAATAAAGGGCCCCCCCCCGCCGGGCGTGCGGAGGGAATATTTGTATGAGTGACATGCACCCAAAATAGGCCCTGACAGAGGGAAGTCAGGCAGATTTGTCAGTCCCAAGAAGGATTCGGGTAGCATTTGTAAGTCTCGAGAAGGATTTGCGTAAGATTTTGTCAGTCCCGAGAAGGATTCGGGTAGCTCACAAGCCCTGCAGGCAAAAGTAAGTCCTG